AACCACGATTTGATGTAAGCTTGCTGTATAATTGTTTCTTGTTTTTATTACTTCCTCATAAGAAGAATACTCTTTTTATTGGCGTTTTGAAAAGTCGTGACGTTGTCACGTGACCATCGTGCGATTGTGACGTTTGTTTATATTATATAAAGGCCGTTTGACTCAACTGCCCGTCTGCTGTTAAGAAATAATGGTGGTTGGGTAGGGGGTATTATGTAATATTTTGATATCGAATATCGGGAACTCTTTCTGTGTATATATATTACAGTTTTTGTTTTAGGTCTGAATTATTTTCTTCCCGATGGAGATATTGACAGTTTGGTTTAACAAACGATAAGTCTTAAGATTTTTTGTTTGTTTGCGAGAAAATATATTTTATGCAACTTATACAGACTATATTTCGAGGCAACTAATTGATCACGTAAGTGGTAACTCATTTCATAGTTTACGCTTAAAACTTGTGCTTATCTAAAACTGAAGAATGAACCAGTCTGTGTGTAATATTTAAGTTTTATTTGTTTGTGAGCAAACTATTTAGCTTTTACTGAGTCTTGCTCTTACTCTTAGGATAATTTTACACTATTATTACACTAGTACTAGTAGTAGTAGTGCTAATAATAGTAACAGTAGGTCTGTGACAATATTATTATTAATATATAATAATACTAAGTATAACTAAATGATACTTATTAAGTAGTTAGTGAGGTTTTAAGTTTATAAATTTTGGATATGTGTTAAATGATAGTTTGAAACTAAATCTGTTTAGAAAACACAATTTTGGAGTGTTAAGTCAATAAATGTCACATCTATATTGTTTTGTCAGCCTAGGCAATGCTAAAGCTGCTGTAAGCTTTTTTTTTTTTGCTGAATTTCCAGCTCTGAATTCAAACTAATGAAGAACACAAGATTATTAAGTTTCACAGTACTGTTAACTTTAAAGTTGAATGGATGCACTGTTGTAAAATGAAGTGCATTGTATTTCTTTCACAAACAAACATTGGACTGAAGAAAAGTGTTGAAACTTGTTTCTGCATAATTTTGGTATTGTTTAAACTTTACACAGTATTTTTTACTCACCCACTATTAGTACTAACATTGTTAAACCTCTAGTATTCGTGTAACTACCTTTGATTGATGTGATTATATTCTATTTGAATTTTTGTATTTTTAGTTTATCTGTAACATAATATTGTTACTTCTCAAAATTCTTGGCTTGGCTGCAGTGTGAATAGCCAATCTCTTAAGTGATACACAGCAGCCTCATATGAAGTGAGAACTTGGCTATCTGCACAGCAGCTGCCATGATCGAAGGAAAGCAGACTAAAGTTGGAAACATTTTTGCAACTTTGACAAGAAGTGAATTTCCACTGTAAGCTGATTTTTCCTTTTATATACATACCTCAGGATTGATTATTAAGAAAATGCTATTGCAAGGGTAGAATTACTCCTAAGGTCTAAGTTGGTAAAACACTATGCTGGTGTATCGGTCTTGGTTGGTAAAACACTATGCGGGTGTATAGGTCTTAGTTTGTA